AGTTTGAAGCAATCAGGTGATTTCAAAGCTTTTTGAAAGTGACAGACTTCCTGCTGCCAGTTGGTGGCGCTATAACCGGGGTGGCGGTGCCGCCGGCTTTGGCCCTTTCATCGCTGCTCGCAGCTATATTTATATATATATATATATACACACACACACACACACACATATATATATATATATATATACATAAATATATATATATTGTTTTTTTAAGAGACAAGACAGAATATTACTTGCCTGATCTGATTAGAAAAATAGTGTTTGTGTGTGTGTGTGTGTGTGTGTGTGGCGTAATTGAACAATGTAGACAAAGACATACTCCGTCCTTTTGTTCATACAGGACATTATTCAAACTGCAAAGTGTTTACTTATATTTGTGTACACTCGTAATAAAACACAACATTGTGCTTTTGTCAAACTATAAACTCTTGTCAAACTGTAAACTACAACTGTCACCCAACCAAAATCTCTTACACACACACACACAGTTTAAAAGCAAAAAATATCAAACAATCCTATTTAAAAACAGTCTGTGGGAGCCATCTTTTGGACATTCATCATATCGCATTGTTTTTCATTTCTTGTCATCAAACAGAGCCCTAATCTGTTTATTTTTTCAGTTACACATTCTACATTGATTAAAAAAGAAAAATCAAAGGTGTTTTTATTTTATACAGAAATAAATAATCTATCATTCAGATGAGAATAAAGTTAGTGTTAGTTCAAATTTTAAGGAAAACAAATATATGATCTGAAATATAGCACATTCATTTAAAATTAATTCAGGTTCGATTACCAAACATACAATCTTAATGTAATTTAAAGCAAACAATACATTTAAAATATATGGGTTGTATGACTATTTTTTTATATAAAAAGATATATATCCAAAAAGACAAGGCCTAAAGTTTAACAAGGGTTAAACTCTTATCACTGTAACAGACACAATCACACACACAATCACACACACACACGTCAAATCACTTACATTTTAGATGCAATATTGACTTTTTTTCTGTTTCAGCAGCGAAAATAGTTAAACAAAGATCACAGCAGAACCATCGCGCATCTCACAGCAACGTGTTCTCATTACTGAATGATTCAGCATTTTGAACGAATCGGTTGACTCAAAGATTCAATGACCAATCAATCCATAAACATCTATCTCATTCATGAATGACTCAGTCGTTCAAACGAATGAATCAATGACTCGCTCATTAAGACGGTCGCCTGGCGACACCTAATGACGGTTTAGTGTTATGTTTAAAAGTATCATTCTTTCCAACGATTGTTAATTAACTCATATTTGAAACATAAGATATATTTATATATATATACATACATATACACACACATACACAAAAATAAAATAAAAACACATTTGAAACGTGTTTGCTTACTAAATTGTGAGCTGAACGAAAGTTGCAGCAAATATCAGCAACAGGAGTCAAATTTCATTAATCACGAGAGTGAAGAGCTAACTGAAAAGATGATGACGGAATAGGCTATTTTATGTAAAAGCGCCTATTTAAGCGAATCTGTCATTGTACTCTTTTATTGTTGTGTTTTCCGTGAAAAATAATAGACTATTGAACTCACAATTCAAGCAATCGGCCCCCGAAATTGCACTAATTTTAGTGACACTAAAAAGTATGCGGCTGCACTGGCATTCATAACGGTGCGCGTCCATGGCGACGAGCGAGCAGAACAGAGCGAACGTTTAGTTAATTTCTACTTCCATAGGAATTCATTCGAGCGCCACCATTTCAATGTCCGTGCGGACGTCCATATTATACTTTCGCTTTCAAGTTAGTGTTTTTAAACCCCCCCAGCGGGAGGTTTACACAATTGGTTTACACAATCACACGTTGATTAACCGGTGGGAAAATATTCCCATAGTAACATCCCTAATATATAAATATATATAAATTCAATAGGCCTACCTGATTTTGAACACAAGAGGGCAGTATAGCACTATATATGATTTGGATTATTATTATTTTTGACTAAACAACCATTCTGGCTGTTTTTAAACTTAAAAATAATTCTTAAATTGAAAAAAAGGAATAAAATGGGTTTAGTTCTAATATTTGTATAATTTTATATAAAAATAAATGGTGTATAATTACATTTTAGAAAGATATGAGACATGCCCTGATTCTTTTTTTGACATTACTTGAATCCCTCAACCATAGCAAAACCGTTTGAGATATTCAATATCTGTTCACAATTTAGCATCTTCAATGTATTTTCATCATGTTGAAAAAGTTTGGCATGAATAAAATAAACTACTTAGGAGGAGTAGCTAAAAACTCAGAATCTGAAATCCACATTCAAACCAAAATATCTGACTTCCTGTTGGTCGTAGCTAATTACGATAAATTAGAAAGTTGTCCGGCTCGAAGAGTACAATATACATATCGAGTTTTGTTACTGTAGATAAAACTAACCCCCCCACTTTTGTCAAAAGCATTTAGAAAGTGACACACTTCCTGCTGCCAGTTGGTGGCGCTATAACTTTGACTCACAATAGTCACATCCATGTGATCGGCCTCTTACAGCGAACACACTGCTGAAGTTTCATCGAGATCAGTTAATGTATGCAGAAGTTATAACACACTTCCTGTTTCCATTATTCGCCATAAATTCGTTTCCTCGTCACGGCCAAACCGTTCGAGATATCAGAAATCCCCTGGCAATTTTTCATCCTCAATGTCTTGACATCATGCGGACCGAGTTTCGTTGCGATTGGTTGAATTCTCTAGGAGGAGTATATCGAATTCCAGGGGCATACGCTTCCAAACAAACCATAATAGCCGACTTCCTGTTGGGCTGGGGTAAAAAGTAAAAGTACAAAGGATATATGAACCGATGAGATCTATATGTGTACCGAGTTTCATATTATTACATGGAAGCGTGCTTGATTTATGGACCAAGTTTTCGGACCCCGTTCCAGGGGGCGCTGTCGAGCCCCCCTGCCACGCCCGGGTACCAGCTTCAGCCCGCCCCTGATGGCCGCGGGTTCTGACCAGTGTGCAAAGTTTCAAGAGTTTTCGTGCACGTTAAGAGCCCCAAAAGTGCCCGAATAGTCGATAAAATAATAATAATAATAATAATAATAATAATAATCCTAAGGAAAACAATAGGGCCTTCGCCTTTTCAAGGCTTGGGCCCTAATAATCCTTAGGAAAACAATAGGGCCTTCGCCTTTTCAAGGCTTGGGCCCTAATAATAAATAATCCTAAGGAAAACAATAGGGCCTTCGCCCTTTGGGCTTGGGCCCTAATAACCAGTTCATAAAACAGTACACTAGCCTAACTGCAGGTGAAATAGTCGCATGATACGAAAAAGGAAGCATTAATAATTCTGACTTTATTTCTCAAAATTGCGAGATATAAAGTCAGAATTGCGAGATATAAAGTCAGAATTGCGAGATATAAAGTCAGAATTGCGAGATATAAAATCGCAGTTGCGTGTTATAAAGTCAGAATTGCGAGATATAAAGTCAGAATTGCGAGATATAAAGTCAGAATTGCGAGAAATAAAGTCAGAATTGCGAGATATAAAATCGCAGTTGCGTGTTATAAAGTCAGAATTGCGAGATATAAAGTCCGAATTGCGAGATATAAAGTCAGAATTGCTAGATATAAAGTCCGAATTGCGAGATATAAAGTCCGAATTGCGAGATATAAAGTCCGAATTGCGAGATATAAAGTCCGAATTGCGAGATATAAAGTCCGAATTGCGAGATATAAAGTCCGAATTGCGTGATATAAAGTCCGAATTGCGAGATATAAAGTCAGAATTGCGAGATATTAAGTCCGAATTGCGAGATATAAAGTCAGAATTGCGAGATATAAAGTCAGAATTGCGTGATATAAAATCGCAGTTGCGTGTTATAAAGTCAGAATTGCGAGATATAAAGTCAGAATTGATTGATATAAAGTCGCAATTGCGTGTGATAAAGTCAGAATTGCGTGATATAAAGTCGAAATTGCGTGTTGTAAAGTCAGAAAGATATAAAGTCGCAATTGCGTGTTATAAAGTCAGAATTGCGTGATATAAAGTCGAAATTGCATGTTGTAAAGTCAGAATTGTGAGATATAAACTATTCTGAGGGGAAAAAAGTTAGTCTTTTTTCCCCCTTAGAATTGGCCTGATAACTCGCAATTGCGAGTTTATATCTCACAATTCTGAGAAAAGATGTCAGAATTTCGAGATATAAACTCGCAATTATGTGTTATAAAGTCAGAATTGCGAGATGTAAACTCGCAATTGTGAGAAAAAAAAGTCAGAAATTGTGAGATAAAAAGTCGCAATTCTGTCTTTTTTTCTCGCAATTGCGACTTTATTTCTCACAATTCTGACTTCATATCTCGCAATTGTGAGATAAAAAGTCGCAATTATTTGTATTTATTTTTTTATTCAGTGGCGGAAACAAGCTTCCATAGAACTCAGATCATTGTTGTTTGTGATTTATTTTGTTGGACTGTCATTCGGGTGCTCTAAGACACTTGAACTGTACCAGACCAATTAAACTGTGACCTCATAAACAGCATTTAGAGACTGAGTTTTATTTCACTTTATTAGTGGAACGTTTCATTCGTATAAGGTGGAGACGCTATCTGCGTCAGCCGGGGATTGCATGTGTGTTCTGAGTATCAGGCTGAATTCTGTCTCTCTATTATCATGCACAGAGATCTCTCTCAAGGGCAGGAGGAAAGCTACTGAATAAACGCTAGCCAATTAAGACACTGCGCCTAATCTCACATTATGTATTCCGAAGCGCTAATCGGCAATTAGCACATCCTCTACAGGCACCGTTAACAAGCCTTTACCAAACACAGGATTTTGAAAATGGAAGGATTGAAAACCATAGGGAATTTACACACTTTGTAGTAAATCAAAGTGCTTCTCGAGAGGAGAGGTGAGACCAGAGGACTTTATTGTTGGTGAAGAAAGTTGCAAAGTGTTGACTTTGTCAATTTGCTTTTCAGGATCGCAGGAGACACCGCGCTCTGCAAGAACATCCATGAGTCCGTCAGTCGACAAATGCGCAAAAACTTTGCAAAAAGCAAATGGAGAGTGAGTACAAGTGACCTTGTAAATAAGACCAGAAACACTTTATGTTCACTTTATGCAAGTATAGTCTGTGAACACATATTGAAACACAAATTTCAGTTTGTGTAGCTAGAAGTATTTGGTTGGAGTGCTGTACAGTTTGTGCCCAAGAGTCACTTCTCATTGTCCATGACTTCTCGTCTCTCCACATAACAGCAAGCCTTCAACGCCACGGCTGTGGTTCGCCACATGAGGAGACTGCAGTTGGGCAGTAGTATGGGGAGCAGCATGGACCAATCGAGCTCCGCCAACCAGAACCGCACACTGAACGCGAGCCAGACTCCAACTCTACCGCCCAACACGACACCAAACTCCACTCCGGCACTTACCCAAAACCACAAACCTGCTGCCAACCCAAATGCCGTTCTTATTAACGATATGGCCACAGGAAACACCTCTATACCACGTAAAGACTGTAAGTATATATATATTTTTTTTTACACACATATATATATATATATATATATATATATATATATATATATATACTGTATATATATTTTTTTTTACATATACATAGTGAATGCTGTCAAATCGATTAATCACACCTAACATAAAAGTTTGTAAATATATAATATGTGTGTGTATATATATATGTAATATATGTATACACAGTACATGCATGCATACACACACATACACACATATATATATATACACACACACAAACTTTTATGTTAGAGGCTGTGGGATTACACATTTAAGAATCTGTTTAAGATCTGCTCATCTTATGTTCTTTACATAACATAACATGAAAAACTAAGGTAGAGAAGATTTAATTTAGTCTAAAATCTATATAAACTACAATGTTCACTGCTTTAGTTAGACTTGATGATTGCAGCTACAGACAGCTTGTGTTCTCACCAAAGAATCCTCCTGAAGATGCAACCGAGTCTCCTGGTCATCACTTCTTTTTTTTTAACTTAAACTTTAGCTGCCAAAGCAACAATTCTAGTTAGTTCAAATTTTTCATCTAATATTTAAAATTGAATATATTTCAGCTTTATTTTAATTAACAAAACATTATTTTAATAGTTAACAATAAAAACCCTGTTCACGTTACCACTCAAAAATGTTCAGGGATGAATAGCATGGTATGTTTTAATAAAAAGGAAAAATATTGCACAAAATATGCAGAACATTATTGTTTATTTCTATAGATTATAAATACAATTATTTTAATTACTTTTCCATTTTGTGGGATTTAAAAAAAAAATTATTTACTAGTGCAATCGATTAATCGTGATTGATTGCATGTAACAAAAGATTGTAAATATATATGTGTGTGTGTGTATATATATATATATATATATATATATATATATATATATATATATATATATGTATACTGTATATGAATACACACACACAAAAAACAACACGTTTAAGGCATTTCAGACATACATAAGAATTAAGATATAGAATAGCATCTAGAAAAATATTCAACTAGATATATTTTTAGCTATAATTGCCTAGCCCTAGTTTCCATGCATGCACTTCTAAACAGTGAATTTGCATTTGTAGGTACGGCCCCTCCCCACACTTCCTGTTCTCTGGCATCAGCTGCTTCCTCCTCCTCTTCCTCGGGGGCGGAGCCCTGCAGGCCCCTCCCTCCCTCCGTTGCGTCGGTGACCACAGTGCTAACTGGGACCAAGTGACGCCAGGTTCTGCGGGGAGAGAGCTGGGAGGCCACTGCCCTGTGAGTCCTGCCCCTCAGCCCGCTCCCCGCCCTGCCGTCCTGTAAGGCAGAGGACTGAACCATCGCCATAGCATCACTGCGCGCGCCTAATGCACTCCTGCCATTTAACCTCCAGGCCACTAGAGGGTGCAATGCATGCAGCGGCAGGAGACAGAGATTTCCAGCAGATGGCTTCCATTTTGAGAAGTGAATTCGTGCGGCTGGACAGAACTGTGATGTCTTTGCTATGAATGTGCTACGAACCTCGCCAGCCATGTTTCCTTTGGGGGGAAAAACGAACGAACGAGTCAAAAAGAGCCCAGAGGTTCAGGTGCGAAAGTGTGTGCATGATCGTGTCGGCCCTTATAAGAGGACGGCGCCAATGTCAAACGATTCTTCTTACTATATCGTAACATGTCTAGCTCTTCCCTCTTTTCCCTTTTTACTTTCTCTATCTACTCACGATTTCTTGTATTCCTTCTTAGCTACCATTCTGATCTTTCGTGGGTTTTTCACTGATGTGTCATGCTGACCTGCAGGAGTGCTTTTAATATCACGTTAAGACTGTTTCTGAGTCAAGACTTCTGTTTGCACATAAGAGAGAACATTTACTGGCGCTTTACAGTGTTTTTACAAACGCAAAGCTTGGAGATTATCGATTTGAGACCTCACAGTTGGGTTTTAGCATCACGAAGTTCAAGATATCTGATAAAACATGCAAGATGTTTGATAGTTATCTTACTTAACTGGACTTTTTTTTTTTTACGCAGAGAAAAAGCAGCTTGTTCATGTTTCTATCTGCTTTGAATACACACGGACAGTAAGTGTTAGGTACTGAATATAGTATAACTGTTACTCAACACAAACACACAAATCTCCCGAAAAGCCATGGCAGCGTCTTTCTCCGCCCAGTGTACGAGTTCTCAGGGAATTCCGCAGCTGCACTGGGCATCATAGTGATGGGATCTATACTAAACGCCTCCATGGTTTGAGCTTGTCTCATCCAGCCAGAATAATGTCAAAAATGTAGTTTAGGATGATAGACAGCTGTTTAACTCGGGCATACGATTGTATGACAATTTGACCATGCTGTAAAACTGACATGTTATGCTACATTTATGCTGTATCAGAATTAGCCTACCACAATTAAAAACATTATCAAATTCCTAATAGAGTGCAACAGCCGGGTACCGGAAGTAGAAATGTCATTGATTTTTTCCATAGGGGAATATATTTTTAATGGTAACTTGGTAACTAAAGCCTTTAAAGACCTAATGTGAGCTACAAGGTTGTTAATCCTATATGCTTTTGTTGAAGCCTTCAGTCTTTATTATATTTCTACTTCATTTTTAAATAATCGTGTTTAAAATTCCTGGCGAAAAACTACATTACCCATGATCCTAAAAAAACTATGACATACCCAGACAATAATTGAGTGCATATTTTGTAATAAACGTAAAATATGTTGTTTCTATATACACAATCAACATCTTTATATCAATCATTTTATATTTATCTGTTGTTTTTACTTTGATCGTCATTTACAATGCTTCACGGGATTTGTAGTTCTTTCTTTGAGACAGCCTTGTACTTTTTTTTTCTCAATACTCTTTTTTTGCTTATTTTTTTACGTTTGTAATGTTGTGATTGACCTTGTAACTGGTTGGTTTGGCTCATGGCTTATAACTATTAAATTAAGACTTTTTTAAAATCCCTATGAAAAAAATTAAAAAGAGTGCATGCACTGTTGCACTCTATTACACATTGGAAACAAGTTTTTTTTTGTCCAACAAATGATTGGAAACCCTTTTAAAGGCAGTTTTGTTTAGATACTGCGAATATTTCTAGTTAATTTGTCATTTTATCATAGACAGTGTATCATGGTGTGCTTTCTTTGCTCTTCCTGAATTCGCAAGAGGTGAATTAAGGTTGCTGTGAAGTATTTTGCCTTGATCATCAACAAAGTCAAGCATATATCCATTTGGCGTAATGACAGGTTAATGTTTTTTATCATTTTTGGATCGGTAATTCTGAGACAGTATTAACGCAGCATTACTTTAATGGAATGGAAGCCAACAAGGACTTTCAAGTGCGATTCAAAATGGCTGAATTTCTAGTATTGGTTTAAGGGCTAAGTTAAGGTTTTTACACTTCCTTATTGATGGGTGACGGGTCTTCTGTCCTCTGCTATTATGTCCTGTCGGGTTTTTAAAGTGACTGATGTCTTCTTTGCCCTTTATGGTTTGCTAATATCACAGGAGAGAACCAATATTTAGGAGTGTGTGACATTTTCCAAAGTGCCATTGAATATCTTCATGGATTTGACATTAGTTTGGTCCTGAATGTTTGTTTCAGTGTGGGCGGCGCCTCACCATGAGGGCTTTGAGCTAATGGGTTTATTTTTCAGTCAGGTCATGCATGCACCATTTTGTCTTCATTTTCACACCCGAGAGGAGCTTGTAATCTCACAACAGAGAAGCTTTCCACAAAATAACTGGGGCAAAGTTACTGTATGGTTTTGTATGTCACAAAAGCTATTTTCTTTGAGGTGAACCATACTGCACATTTCTGTTAAAACATTCAGCCGTTTACGGTGTAAGAATGAGGTGTTCGATAAGTAACGGTTGTTTAAATGAATGTTAAGCTCTTTTGATCGTATCTGTGGCATAATGTCGATTACCACAGGAAATAATTTCATTGTGTCCCTTAGTTTCTAATAGTAAAAGTCTATGGAAAGGCATCAAAGATGGATTAAAAGCCAAAATGTGAAGCTCATATTTTTGTTCAAGCATTTCTATTAATTTTTCTGTGTTATTTGAGATTTTAGCTGTGGGACGACTGTTCTGGACTTCTAGTTTGGTGTTGCTTACATAGCCTATTTACTGTGAGTTGTGTCATGTAAACAGTACCTTTTTGGTATCCGTGTGCATTTTGTATGATTTAGGGGTTGAAATTGGATGTAACTTTGTTCAAACAAGGTTAGTAAGCAATTTTGTTTGACTAGTCTTAAAAATGATATTGCTGTTCTCTAAAAACATTTATTTTGGTGCAATTTCTTGCGCTTAGACTTTTATTGTGTGTAGCTAGCTACATTACTGTAACTGTCAATTTTGCTTGTTCTATAAAATGAGGGACAATTAGAAATGATTTTCTGTGGTAAAAGGGCTTAATGTTTTTGGCCTAAGTGTTCATGTACTCAGTGTTTGTGAGTGTCACCTTCTTCTGTGTGTATTTATGGGTGTAAAATGCCGGAAATGTGTCCGATATGCTGGTTTTGAATTTTGTAAACCCTCAATAGGATATGCAGAAAAAGTATAAACCAAAACGTTGGGATGTTTTGAATGAAGATAAATATATACAGTTACTGCCACTACTCCAAGCCAAACATAAATGTATTTAAATATAGTATAACAATTAGGTATATGAATTCATTTTAACATTAAATTCAGTAAATACATGCACACACATGTGCCATGGCTCGCACACACACACATCCTGATCAGTCAGTGAGTGCAATGAAGGACAGAGAGGAAGTCAAAAACGATCTGTATTCACGATGTTTCAGTTAAATTCGATTATCACTGTCGTCTGTCTGTGTCCAGAGCAAATCACTCTGTGTGTCCGAAGGCTTTGTAAATAGACTGTGATTGTGACGTGTCTATCATGTTGTCCCTGAGAAGATGTTAGTGTGTGTCTCTCATCTCGTTCTCTAAACACTGCCTTTCTCTGCAGTTGTCGGCCACACACTGACTGTAATACACAGATGTATATTCACAAACTCGTGTCTCTTGCTGTATGTTGTTCCGATAAAATCACGTTTCTATTGTACAAACTTCAGTCTGTGCACTTCACACGAGCAACATGGTAAATATTTAACGATGATCGGTTGTGATGCAATCTTTTCCCGACATTCTTTTTTCTTCTTTCTTGTTTTTTTTTTTACCAACTCAGGCGTCACTTTTGCCTCTTACGATGAAAAAGCTGTGACTGACAAGTGTCTGTGCTACCCAGTGACTGTGCAGTTTTAAACTTGTCCCTTGAATGTCGACTTATTTGCAAACTAAGAAAGAAAATACATTGCAACTGCATCGAATGATTTTATAAACAATTGCAAGCATGTTCAATGCGCTTTCCGATTCAACCGATTGTTTGCGTATTTTCAAAAGTCCTCACCATGTAACTATATGTATGAAGAAATATGTCTGTATCTATATGAATATATATTTAAAAAATTGCAACTCTGGCAATGCAGGCCTTGTGATCTCTGCATCTCTGACACAACCTGTCCGAAATAAAAGTTGCCCAGTGAAATGTGAATTATATACTCATATGCATGTGACAATGATGATCATATTTTGGGAGTGGCATACGAATACTAACTTTACTGTGACGTGATCTTCTGTTGATATGGGGCTTGTATATCCAATGCCTTTGACAATCATCTGCACATATCAGAGTTTATATTCCATGCTGTAAAGCAATGGGGAATGAATGATTGTTTTTTTCCTTTTTTTTCTTTCTTTCCTTTTTCCTTAAATAAATCCTGAATGATCATGATATGTCTTTTATGGCTCAATAAGATTCAAGGATCTCTGTGACCCACATGTTTACATTCAGCTTTTGAACACTGTGTTTTTTGTCATTATTGGTTTGGATCGCTTTCATTAGCGGTCAGTCAGGCTGGACGTGGCCGGTCTCCCACCACCAGCACATCTTCAGGCGCTGCCTCCTGCTACTGACTCAAAACAGACTGGCAAGAGACCATGTGAATATCATCCAGCCATGCATGACCGCTTACGACCCCAGGCATCTGTGCATGTGTCTGGCCAACATGTTAGACATTAGCTGTGTCGAGGAGGCCACATTGAAAATTAAGCTTGCCAAGACTCGATATTCAGATAGATAGATAGATAGCTAGATAGATAGATATTAAATAAAAAGAACTGGATAAAACAGACAGATAAAATAAACAAACTTAAACTTCACTGTCTTACTGCCTATATATTCAGTAACAGTTCACTGACTAAGCTAATTTGATTCAAACATAAATGTGTGAATCATTTTGACTAATGAATAATTTTGGATTTGAAAGAACCGGTTCATAAGAGTCATTAGTTTCAGAATCTGACATGTTCATGTTCTTTGCAGACGCACGGGGACGCGCTATCGCCACCTCACGAGTTTTCTGACGATTGTTTACTGACTGTTGGCAATGGCGACTAGATTTTAAATAATTGTCGCGGTTGCTTATCTTAACCCTCAGACGGTCTTCGGTCATTTATGACCGGAAAATTTTCTGTTTTGAATTTCTAAAAATCACAGCTTCATCGGAATGTTATGAAACTTGGTGACTTTTATGGCATTAGGTATGTGAATACAAAAAAAAATTGAGGTCATGATCCGAGCATGCTAAGTGGTCGTAAAAAAAAAGTCACACTTGTGGTCTTCGGTCAAAAATGACCGACCCATAGGAAATGAATGGGAAATTTACAAAAACACAATCTACAAATCGGCCACGATTCTAAAAAAAAAAGTACACCGCAGTAACGGGGTGATACTCTATTACAGCCTTTCTCAAACTTTTTTCAGTCGGGGCACCTTTCAAAAGTGCATAAAATCTAAAGGCACCCCAGAGTAAAATATAAATTAAAAACACTGCATAACCCAAATGTAAATGCAAATGTCCTGTTTATTTAGACAGAACAGTAATGAACAGAGCATAATACGAACTGTAAATAACAATAACAATAACAATAATAATAATAACAACTTTACAGGGCTATCACTTTTGTGAAAAAATCCTGATCGATTTTTGAGACATAAACGTTCATTGAATCGATTGTAAAATCGATTTTCCATGTCTAAAGACGTTTCCATTTTCAGCGCCAAATATAGGCAAATCCACGGACAACTAACAGGCATTAGGACGAGCGTAAAGAGTGCGCTTGAGACGCGCACAAGTCAGCAACATTTCTGATGATTTATTGGCATGAAGTTTCGTGCACAATGACAAACAGGAGTGCAAGATTCTCGAAAAACAATAAGCAGAGTGGACTGCCATAACATCAATGAAAAACATTACTGCAGGCTTCGACATGGCTGTGTTTACGATTAGAAATGTCAAACAAATTTCGCCTACGTAGGCGATTGTAGGCCGGATCTGTATCTGTATGCATGGGACTGTCTGAATACCGGCAGAATTCACATTTTTGTTGTAAAAAGA